GCAGGAATTGTGGAGTGCTATAGGCTTAAGTATGCCGATAAAGAATGTCCACATTGTGAAGGGTCCAGCTCCTTAAGCATCTTCTGGCAAATACCTCAGTATGCATGCATAGGAGCTTCTGAAGTGTTCATGTATGTGGGTCAACTGGAGTTCTTCAATGCACAAACACCAGACGGGCTGAAGAGCTTTGGGAGCGCCTTGTGCATGACATCAATCTCACTGGGTAACTACTTTAGCAGCTTTCTCGTGAGTGTGGTCATGAAGATTTCAACGGCAGATGACATGCCCGGATGGATCCCCGGAAACCTCAACAAGGGTCACCTAGATAGGTTTTACTTCCTCTTAGCTGTCCTGACATCGATAGATTTGATTGTCTACATCGCATGCGCCAAGTGGTACAAGAGTATCAAGTTGGAGGGAAGATTTGAAGTAAATGATGATGAGCAAGGAATCTTCAAAGTCTGATGTATAAAAAACTAAGCAGACATGTTAAGACCTATGCTAGCAACTTATATTAAATAAGAAGAATGAGGTTGGCAACAAAGTCAGGAGGAGTAAGAGAAACCCTTTTCTCACGAATCCTAGCCCCGTTTCTCTCTCTATCTCCGCAGCACCAACACTGTACTTTTTCTACCCAGGAAGTGTGTTTAAAGAGATGGGTAACTTTTGGCTTAGGTCACGCATCTTTCCTCATTCTGATTTGTTTGTTTTATTGCAAGCCATAGAATTAACATGTGCTGGTAGAGAAATCTATTGTAATATGATTGGGCACTCTGTGAAGCTGTAGCACATAACTATGTAAGAGAACTAATCTCTCCCTCCAACCTTAATGAAAGCACCTCTTCTCTCAGAATTAGTTTGCAAGTTTCTTCAACAGACATGACCTACCAGAACCTAATTTGGCTACACATACATGAAACACATTTATGGATGAACCATGTTAGTAAAGGATTGACTACAAAAAAGGGCAACCGAGAAAAAGGCATCTTCCTATGATCTGTCTAAGTTTTCCGGAAGACGATTTTCCTAAGCAACAAAGAAAAATGTCAGAGTAACCAAAGGTTATGATAAGTTTTTATCTGAGAAGGATGAAAATTGCAGTTTATCTTCCTGGCAGAATGTTAAGTTTCTCATGGTGAAACTTGGCAAGGATTTTGTTTAGGGAAAGCACCATAAACTAGCAACAAGCCAAAGCTCCATAAACTAGCAACAAGCCAAAGCTCCATAAACTAGCAGCAATCTACAACTATCAAATAACAAAACAATTCTTTACCAGCTGTCGACAAGCCAGAGAAAGATAGATTTCATCATACACACAGAAGACAATTTCATCATACACACAGAAGACAACTAGGGAGGATATCGGCAAGGGCAATGTTAAAGAAAAGGACCAAAAATAGAAAAAGGAAAATTGCATTCAAAAAGAGAGGTTATGGCTCGAAATGGCATAGATTTACAGATCTGGATCCATAGATTTCTGTGTACAAATATACCTAGAAACACAAACAAATAATTCCAAAATTTTACAGGACACTATTGAAACATCTAAAATTCGTAACGACACAACTCCTTCACATTATCGTTTACGAAGTTCATTTGATCTACCCTTTCATTGGAACTTGGAACAAGTGTTCGCAAGATGTAAACTACTTAAACTGAAACTTCAATTTGAATAAAAGAAACTAAAAGAGAAAGAAAACTCCTCAGAGGTTCAAAATCAACTTTCAACTTTACGAACTTGGATATGGTGAGAAGATTCTCGACGCCAGATTGGTTGCGCACCACTTTGTACAAGAGTAACAAACTGCCCCTCTTTTAAAAGACCTTTAGCCTGTGCAAGTAATAATAATGGCAAAATTCAGAACACATAAGAGTATAATGTAAATCAGATAAAAGGAGACACAATTGAGAAATAAGTAATCACTAACTACTAATAGCTTTATTGCTCTTGAGAAAGTCTCCTCCGAATCATTTGAGAACTGCATATATATGGGGACGACACCATGATAAAGCACTAACCTCCGCTTAATCCTTTCTCTGCTAACAAGAAATTATGTCACAAATTTAAGAACAAATAGTGAAAATAAGTTTAAATTGCTCAAAATCCCCAACATAGAAAAAGAATATCGATTGCAGTTGCAATAACCCTGTGAGGCAAAAACCAAAGGGAATGTGAATGAAATTTTTTTAATGGCGCAGCAGATCTGAAGAATATGCAGTCTTCAACATGGCAGTTTAACGTAAGTTTAATATTTTATTTTTTTTATAGCAATATCCGTAGAAATGCTGTGCTAGTACCCAACCCAACAGCCTCCATCAGAAATGCTTTTAGCTTCCGCAGTCAAAAGCTTCAATGACCCTAATGCAAACAATTGTTGCATGAAAACTTCTGTAAATAAAAGTATACAACAAAAACAGAGACGGAAAACTGGCTGGCCTCTATCAACAAAGCTATGGTAAGTTAAGGGCTATACCAAGGAGCTGGTAATCTTCCTGACTGATCGTTTCTATCTATAACTGTTGAGTAGGAGGTCAAAGAGCAACGCTTAGACCAGAGAACATTGTATCACCTTTTCTCAGAAGGTTAAACTATTTTTTAGGCCCTTACTTACAGGTAAATGTATAATGTCACATGTACAAAGTTGACATGGTTTTCCGTGTAAAATCTATATTTGAACCGCATGCATGTTCACTATAAGGCAAAAGATGCAAACAAAAGATAACTAAGAATCAACTGCAGAGAGCAAATATACACATATATGTATATGTATTTCATTCATATAAGCAGGACTGACTGACAATAAATGCAGCAAGCTGCAGCATGCCAATCATTCTAAAGTAGAAATTTTTTTCCAAGATATAGATCACATGACAACTCAACTTGTGACCTTAAAAAATTAGAATACTGGACTTACTCATTTGTGAAGGCAAATATTGTTGAGCAAGGCCGATAATGACTTAAAAGCACAGCCATGGATCCTGTCCTCGTGAAAACAATGATGGGTGTTTGGAGACTGTTTGCAATAGTTGTGGAATGGAAAGCAAACATTTCCCCCATATGACTCTGTGAAAAGTATCCACAAAGTAATCAGATTCAATGGGTAGATCTCAAATTAACTGCAGAACATGCTAAAATTTTAACCTCAAGCAACCCAGCACCAAGAAGTTCTAAAAATAAAAAAGCATATACAACCGAAAAATATCAGACTAAAACGAAACGAAAAAAATCATATTTCCAAAATAACTTATACAGCCGAAAAAGTACCATAATTCCTCAGATGCAATCATTGCGTACCTTATTGGCCCTCAATTGAATTGGAGGAAAAGTGCTAATTGGTAGGCTTGACTCAGTTCTTAAAGCCGCAGTATGCATTACTTTAACAGCTTTCAATGGATGCCTAGATTTAGAATTGCAGAATATATAAAAATATGACGGTTGTTCCACAAATTGTCAGCATTAAAAAAGTATGAAACTTTTCACAAAAATATAAAATAAAATAATATATTATATATAACCGACAAATGTCATTGGCCAAGAATGAGGGAATCCAGAAGAAAGAGAACAACCAAGGTTTCCCGAGTATGTATCAATGTATTAGGCAAGTAAAAATTAACACAAATATAGGATTCTCTTGCTCTCTCACTATTACAGAGGAACTTATAAAATAAATAATTACTTATGGTAACAAAGTCAGAGTTTACCCCAAAATGGGAAACACTCTAATTAATCTTCTATGTCATGGGATGACTAGCTCACAATCAAAGGTGTTGTTATGCAATAGACTCTAGTGGCATAAAAATAAATAAAAACCAGAAACAATCTTGACAGCTAACTGATACATGACATAGCCCAAACTAGAACCAGGACCAGCATAAAAATTGAATAGATGGGTGTCAACAGTAAAATTTTTAAATGAGGATTAATAAAAAACTTACTGGCAGTGAAAATATGAAAAGGTATTCAAGCAGGTCAACCTAAACTAGCCCATCAAATATGTCGAAAAAACCAATTAATAAATTATTAACTGGATGAATTGGTATTTTACACATGTCTGCAAAGGTTGACAAAAGTGACGAAAACCATCACTGGTCATCCCAGGATTTATAGAAAAAGAAAACCAATACTAATGAGAAATGCAATCCCCATATTAAAAACCAACATAATAGAAAGAAATTTTCACATATAAAAAGTGACGCAATATCTACAAATAAATAGATTATAATTTCTATCAAGATAGAAACTGGAAATAAGTACTGTGACTTGCCAAATGTCAACCAGTTGACTTACTTTCCATGGGCAGTTTCTCCAGAAAGCATAATTGCATCAGCACCTTCTTTTACTGCAATTGCAATGTCAGAAACTTCTGCCCTGGTTGGCGTAGGATGATCAATCATGCTCTCCAGCATATTGGTTGCTACAATCACTGGTTTCTTCATACTGTGACACCTTCTAATGATGTCCTCCTTTTAAGATAACACAGGATTCAATTACACAATAAAATTAGCTTCAAAATCAACCATAAAGGTTAAAATTCAACTTTATCAATTGAAAATGATAAGGCTATACACAGACATAGAGAGCGCATTATTGCTTTGGGATGCAGATTATAGTCAACCATCACAAGCTATGTTATATAAGCAGCAAATATTATCACAGATGCAAACACAGAACATATTGTGACTCTGAAACATCCTATTATTTACCATCTCTAAGCCCCAGATATTCATTAGCAAAGGTACTATTGATTATTGAACTACTGTCTGGTTTTGAAAGTAGTCTTGAGATCTCTGATTGTATCAGTCTTCAGTACTCCTATCAATAACAAATATCATTGTCTTGAGATCTCTGATTGTAACAGTCTTCAGTACTCCTAGATTCCAAAACTGCCCTTCTCCCTTGGTTTTTGCACAAGGTCACAGCCATTTGTTTCCTCTCCACTCCTCTTCCATGAAATCACTCATCACTTTCCTAAGATCTTAGCTCCCTTAATTGGCACATGAAAAAATGGACAAACAGAAAGTAGGCATGTTACTCAGCACCAATAGAAAAAGTGAAAAACAAAAAGAAGGGCGCACTAAAAGGCTGCCTTCGAGAGGAAGAGGGGTTAAGGCACATAGATAATAATATAGAGTACCACCCAAGATAAGACATAAGGTAACTCAAAGGCCACTCACCTAATTCACAACCCAACTCTTTAGCTAAGATACGCTAGAAATGGTAAAGATACAACTATGATCAAATTACCTGCAATAAAGGAACTTCCTCAATTGGAAGTTCTGCTCCAAGGTCTCCACGAGCAATCATTGCCTATAAAGCAGACAGCAAAACAAGAAACTGGATAATAAGTCATTGCTTACGGTAGTACCAACATATCAAAGAACAAGGATGGCAGGGCTTTTATTGCATGCAAGAAAACAAAAGTTACAAATAAAGACGAACCCCGTCAGATGCAATAATTATCGAATGAAGATTTGGTATAGAGTCCGCACTTTCTATTTTTACAATAACATGAATATCTGCATTGCAACCTACAGAAGAGGCGCAAATTAAGTTTAGGAGACAATACTATAAAGATCCACAAAGAAGAAATGTTAACTGAATAAACTGATAAGAGATTGAAGAAGTTTACCTTTGAGATAATCTTTCAACTCATGGACCACCTCAGCATTTTTTACAAATGAGACAGCATAGAAGTCAACTCCATTGTCCACTCCAAATTTGATATCTTCCCAGTCCTTTTCTGTAGAAGAGACCAATAAAGCAGACCAACAAATTGAATATTGTGTGCCTCTTTGAATTTTTGAAAATCAAATGGACTGATGTTCATATAAACACCAAAAACATTGGTGAAGATTACCTGTTATTGAAGGCAGAGTTGCACTTTTTCCACGCACATTTAAGTGGCGCCTTGATTTTAGTTCTCCGCCATCAACTACCACACATTTAACCAAATCTTTTGTCTTTGACTTCACAGCTAACGACATCATTCCACCTAGCAGAAAGACATGATATATCATCAGGTCTCTTAACCATGTGAGTAGATAAATAGGGGGGAGAGAGAGAAGGGGGGGGGGGGGACGTAATTTACGAGCGGTAAGAAAAGAATCAATTCAAGACATTCTAACCACTGGGATGATAAAGTACAATTACAACTACTTTAACTTGCTAAATCAAACAGATTAAGATACATATAGACCCCTTCCTTTTTTAAGAAAGATCCCTCTTTGCAAGAAAAAAGATACACAGCATTTATGGGCCCACCCTGCAATGTTGGTCCCATGATTTGAACCATTCACTTTTTATGTCACCATTTAAGAATCATTCCTACAAAAAATCAGCTTACAGAGACTCATTCAGCCATTTGATTATCCTCATTATCATTTCAGTGTTTATCTGAAACATTGTGTCTATGTACTTGGTCATAGTTAGATGGCCAAACGGTTTCCAATTGAACTATTCTTTGTAAAGAGATCCTTCAATGAGGAAAGTAGACAGTTCGGATTATCGTATCACGTTGAGGGGTGGGCCCACATGTGATTCCTTAACAGAGGCCCCATCTTCACAAGTTTTCCCTGTAGAAAATATATGAGGCCGGTACTGTAGCCGATATGATTAACCTGAGAGGCCACAATTACCACAAGCAAACATATTAATGACGAGGAACACATTCCAAACTATGGACTCGACTCAAAAAAAAAAAGAACAACAAAGGCCATTCGAACGGCCATACACAGTTATTTGAACAGCCTTTGTTATTCTCACCAGTCTGCATGCAGACAATTTCACACCTAATCCATTTCCCATGTGTGTGTATGAACGGAAATGTTCTCTCGCCACACAATGGCATGTCCGTTTGGATCCCTAATTAGGGAGATTCTCTTCTTTTTATCTTAAAGAAACTAATCGAGTATATTTTTATTGTTCATGTTGAGAGTCTGGCAACATAAACAGCCAGAGACTTGGGAAAAGAACATCACCCTATGCCTATTTATACCAAAAGACTACTGAGTTGACTCTTGACATCAGGGTGGCCAGTTTGATTCAGTAAATGGCAAGATGCGGTCGGTCATTACTTCCAATACATCTGAAAACTGTCAACATTAGTGTGGCTAAGTTCTTCCTTGATAACTCCTATCCCACCAACTTGAGGTTAACAAACACCAGCTCACTACAAAACTAATCTAGTTCTATAATATTACAGTTGCCATTAAAGTTGACCAAAGCAACAACTCATAATGCACAACAGCTATGACAATAATCTGTAGGTCACTCTCACCAGTTACAGAGTTCCAAAACTTAGTGGAATTGCATGCACAAACAAGGTCCTTCAGTCTCTTTAATGAATTTACTCAAAAGAGTCAAGATTTGATTTACCATACTTCTAAAACCAAAGAAAGACATGCTAACAGAAATATCATATCACATAGGATGAAAAAAAAAAAAACAATTGACTCGTCCACAAATTCAGCACCCACAAAACATTATGCTTACCATCAACTAGAATAATGTCACCAACATCCACATCATTCACAAAGTCGTCATAGTTTACACTAACTGTGTCCACTGTGCTAACTCCTCTTTTGATTGTAAAGTTAAACTCTTGTCCCTCTTTAAGAATAATTGGTTGTGGTACATCTCCACTTCTAACCTCAGGACCCTGCATGAAGAAAGAAAAATCATATATCAACCATAACCTCAATGGTGATTAGAAAGAATCAGGATGAAATATTCAAAGCCTTTATGCTAAAAAAATTATTTACAATGTGATAAATGTGAGCATTCACTTGAGAGTAGTACACTAAATATTGAGAATGAAAATCTAAACTAACACATGCTAAATGTAAATGAAACTTTTAATCTAGAAGGGGCAATGTTCTGCATGTTTCAAAAGTCCAGTCCTATTTTATGATACACAATTTGGAGTAGTCTACAACAGTAAAAATGAAAATCACAGTTTACATAATAAATGTAAAATTTCTTCATGAAAAGAAGCAGAGTGGAGAAAAAACAAAATCATATGTTAAACAAAAAATAAAAAAACTTTTGATCCAAAGCAGGTGAAACAAATGTACCCGCCAATGCAGCAATTCTTGATGCAGAAACCTGTGCTCCTAACGATAAGTTAAATAGGATATGAGCAGGCAAAGAATGAGAGAGAAAAAGCAATCAACATACCTTGGTGTCCAGCATTATGGCTACAACCTTGTCTTCAAATTGAGAGTTGTATTCTTTGACAAGATCAATGGTTTTCTGGTGTGACTTGTGGTCCCCATGTGACATATTCAAACGTGCAACATTCATTCCTGTTTCAGCCAGTTTCCATATCATTTCGCGTGAGCTTGTTGAAGGACCAATTGTACATACTATCTTAGTTTTCCTTATACCATCTGAATATACCTTTGGCTGGTCCATAAGGTAATCATTATCAGACTGAAGTTCAAAAGTTGAGTCAGCCTTGTCCTAAAACAAGACAACAACATTTCAAGGTTGTAGATTTAGAACACGCACAAGTGACACTATTAACTGCATTCTAATGAAGCAACCGTTTTCAATACACAAAACATAGCAAAGCTAGAAAAAGCATTAAAGCAGGCAATAAATTTACCATGCATTTACTGTATTTCTAAGTTTTATGCTAGAAAGCAACTTAACTAATCCAAGAATCTGTATTCAGCCTTTTAAAAGGAGAAGGGTATTGCAGTCCCCAGATCCTCACAATGCTAATGTGAAGACAGGTATCGTATTTTGTTCATTTATCCTAAACTTTCTCAGCAACCAAACAGAGCAATATCACGAGAAACTAAAGATTATAGGTGTTTTTATGTCTACTTGAAGTAAAGGAAGAAACTTCAGCCCGTGTGCCTACCAATTGAAATACCAAATCTAAAATTTCGAAATATTCAAAGTTTTCCACACTCTGAGAGACGGAACAATACAAAACCAAATTAGAACACGCACAAAAGTTAAATTCAAGAACTATTGACAACCCATGTTATAAAAAGGACAAAAGCAAAGCTCCCCCAATAGGAAAAACAGAGAGAGCATAAAACATGGAAACAAGAAAAAAGCAAACTTACAACGCTCCCCACAGGACCATTGTGTGAGTTAAAATGGACTCTGCTGCTGTCCTGGAAGATCCCAATTGATTTAACAGTAAAGCTTTGCTTCTTCTGAGCATACTTTCTTCTGGGTCTACAGTGAAACGCAGTAGAATCACACAGGCTCTTGGAGGAAGCCAATCGATCAGTGGCTCTAGACCTTTCAGGTTTCAAGAAAGACAATCTTGCGGGAACATTAAGGGTCGCCATTGAAGAAAAGCTTGGAGAAGTGAGAGTGTTTTGTTAATTGTTATTGACGAAAGATAGAGAAAGGAAGCTATGGCCAAATTGGTAATGGCCCTACGAGCTATGGTGAAATGGAATGAGAGAGGGAAAGCCGAGGACGAGAGAGAGTCTCGTTGGAGCAAAAGGAAAGGAAGAGAGTCAGTCCAGGGATTCAGACAGTTTGCACTTTCATTTCTTCTCCTCTTATTTATATTTTCATTTCTTACATGTTTCCCTTTTTTTTTCTGATAAATAATAATATTGGAGACTATAAAATATAAAATAAAAGTATAAAATAACATGTGTGTCAATAGCGTAGTATGAATAAATATTTATTTATATTATAACACAATAAAA